CAACAAGAATTAAGTATCAGATGGACTTTTGAATTTATCTGCATACTCAGAGGAAATGCACCCGAGTTTTTCTTGGGTCATACTGCAGTCATTTGTGTTAATTATCACAGCAGTTATGGTACTTATTTTTATTATTCCAAAAATAGGTGGACCATTGGGTTGGGGAATACCATCCAAAGGTCAACATACAATTACTGGGTTGTTGCACACCATCTAAAGGTCACTGTGTGGGGCCCCGAGTGGCCGAGTGGTCTAAATCGCTGTCCGATAACATGCAATATCTTTCAACACAGATAGGCCTATATAAGTTTACAGTGAAAAGGTTAAACAGACTTTGCAATATTACAATTATTATAATATTGGTTCTGTTTACAGCATTACATGTTCACTTCCTAAATGTACTTTTTTTGACACATGTACAAATCTTTGGACAAGGTGCAAAAAGTTTAATAAAAAGGTATAAAAGTAATATTTAAATTGTAGAATAGATGTTGAATGCTTTTGTTTTCACTCATACAGAAAATGCATTTGTCATCATTTAATATGTTAATTATTGTAAAAAGTTATTAGCGACAATGATTCTATGAATTAATTTAATATTAGAAGAGATTAAGTTGTATTCTTAAGTACAAAGTTTTACCCAGCTATAAATACTACTTATATTTTTATTTAATAATCACATCCACATTTTTTACTTAATGGCGAGTTGCCTTTTACCTTTTAAAAAAAAATCACTAAATAAACTGAAATGAATTTCGTTTTTTAAAGTTATTATTTTATTGTCCTGTTTATCAAACATGTCGTAAATCAAATATTTTCTGATTGCATCTTCCAAGATTTTGGAATTTTGGATATTAATGAAAAGTATTTCATAAATTTGTCACATCCATTTTTTTTCGTTTTATCGTTTCAAAATGTATTAATATACCTAAATCATCAACTAAATCATTATAATATACTTTCCTTTGTCTTTTTCTGGTGTCGCTGCTGTGAAAAAAGTGCATGACATATTAGGTGTTAAAGTTTAATCGTTCTGTCCAAAAAACCTCATATCCAGTGCTCAAGGTAAAGCTTCTAATGACATCCTGACTAGCTGATATGTGTAATGGGTTTCCTCAGCCAGGTTGATGTCATCCCCAAAATTCTCCATTTAGGTTAAATTCCAAGAAGGACAATTTAGCATGATGTGCTTTTTTCTTTGTAATAACAATGACCTTTCCATTCCAGATTATCTTTATCAGTAAGTACATGTAGTTGGATGGCATTTAGTTTTGATCTTTGCTCATCCTAGTGGTTAATTTAATTTGCTCCGACAGCTCTGTTGGCAAGGACAAAAAAAAATGTTAGTCACTGAGAAACTTAGAAGAGTAAGCACTTGGCATTTCTGGGCATTACACAGTACCATATTCAAAATACCCTCTGGATAGCCATTTTCTTATTGGTAGTCTCACTGATTTGATCTGTCTGCAAAATCTTGCTTGCAAACAGGTGTTAGCTGGAATTACCTGACTGCAGGTGTAGCATATTTAATTAACATGTAAATAACATTGCAAAGCCATATTGTTCTTCAGATAATATATATTGTAACTAGAACAAAAAGAAATTAATTACTTACTGGTATTAATTGATAATGGATTATAGTATTACTGTTTTATATGACTAAGATCACAATAATCAGGTAACTAAACAATGCAGATTAAAATCTTTATGATCCCTCCCCCCTTTCTCTCACATCAAGGCAAATTTATTTTTATCATAATTTGTAAGGAGGAAAATGTGATTGAATACCTATCTTTGCCATGGGTATTCATTTTCTAACTTGCCTAATCTAATGCACATATATGAAATATATATTATTAGTGCATGTTACTCTGATGCAAATCTAATGTATGTGAATTTAATACTGACAGTCATTGTTATGTATATCTATATTTCTTGTAACCCCTCACATATGATTTTATTTCAGTTTTGTAAATTTTAGTGAATACCTTAAGTTACATTTTGCCTATCTGACAATGGTCTTTTGAAGGAATATTAAGAGTTAAAATTACATAGGATCTATAAATAGAGGCTTATGCCTTGACAGTTATTTACTAATAATTCCATTATTACTGCTTACAAGATTCTGCCTTTTATTCCAGTTGGCTGGAGGGTTTGAATGGTTCTAGAATAATCAGATACTTTTTCATTTGATAAGCTAGGTCTTATGAGTAGATGTTTCACAATATTTATTGAGTAGTACACTGTCACTTGTGGTGGGTAGGGGTGTTGAGAAATATAGTCATAATAGATGGCATATACAAGGGAACTGAGCAATCAAAATTCAGTCCTAATTTTGGTGTCTTCTTATTTCTTGTGTTCATGTTGTCGCATCAAGTCTGCAGACGTGTTTTATGTTGTACTGGACTTATATATTGAGAGGAAATTCATTTATTTTGACTGTTCAGTAAAAATAGAAAGTGCTAATTTTTTGACAATAGTATTATTCTGGAACTATTGTGAATTATTCAAACAAGTTCTGGATAATCCCATTTTGTTGACATCATGATTCTCGTTAGATCAGTACATTTCCAGTTCTGAAGTTTATATGGAACTTTTCATTCTTTTGGACTTCAATATAACTATTTCAGGATTACTTGGATTCACTTCACAATACTGTAAGTTCCTCTCACATTTTCATTATAAGATTGACAAATAAATTGTTAAGTTTTACAAAACTTGTTTGTTTTGGAACTTTCTGTTAGTTTATGACCACCATTTTGGGTCTGTATTTTTTCGTACACAATCTCTTCCCCCAAAAATGGTAATTATTTTTACACATTCATTATCGCTCTTCTAGATAAAAGTTTTTTTTACATATGAAGAACTATATGACATACAATAAAGCGATTTGAATGACATAAACCATATACAAGTGTCAATTCGGAGAATAAGACAGAGACCTAAATATTTTGTCAAAAAGTATTGATTTAAAGAATAGTACATATTGTAGTTGATGTCTACTTTTAACTAGTATTTACTGCAGTCCTGCACATGCTGCTGGCTAATGAGGAATTACAAAATTACAGACCTGAGAACCCTCATGATTTTGTACAAGTTTTATGGAAATAACCCTTAACATATAGACTTACAGAATAATAGCACAGATATGGAAATAAAAATTTTGCTTGTCCATGATTGATTTGGATCTGGGTTTTACAGTAGATTCAGTGATGTTAGTCAGGAAACCAGTCTAACCTCACTGGAGTACCTCAGATGCTTTAAACTGGATGTATTTTGTAATGTGAAACAAACAATATGTTAGGATGATAGGGCTATAAACCTTTTAAAATGTTTTAATAGTACAGAGATATATAAGCGAATATTTTGAATTTTGTGGAAAAAGTCAGGAATTGCTACAATTATATTTAGTGAACATTGTGTTGATTTGTGTATGTCACATGGCAGGAAAAATGAATGAAGTCACCATTGCACACATGATTTTTTTAAGGATTATGTCAGATTGAGAGATGTCAAGAAGCCAATGAGTTCTGTAGGGTTCGGAACTGTAGTTTGTGAAACTGTACTGGAGGTAATTAAGTAAGAATCAAATTTACAAACATTTAATTTAACACAATGTTTACTGCCATTGCATGTGTCTTGAATCACACTAATCACTTCTAAATGTATGCTTTCCAGCTTTTCAACAGCAGCACATGATACTTTGTTACACCTTACTGAAAACTGGTCTAACTTTTGGAAAAATAATCACTACCTGTCTGAGAAGATCTTGGTAGGGTTGGCAAGACAGAAATTGTAATGTGCTGTCAAAGCCAAACTCAAAAGTATACATCTCCATGATGTACAACAATAGCTGAAAGAATAATCTTCGAACACATTACAAAAACTTGTTTGATGTCAAGAAGTCAGAGGTACTTGAAAGTAATCATCAAAAGCAATCTGATTTGGCTCATATTTCTCACTTCACTTCATAACAGATGAGGTTACAAGTACTTATTTTGTGAGAATCATGTGTGTTTGAAAAGTGGGAACCTCATATAAATATTACTAAGAGCAGAAGCAATACAATTTTCAAAATGTCAATATGGTGGTCATATCGGCTGTTCAAGCAGCACCATTTTCATTAAACAGCAACTATAGTTCTGGGAGAAATTTAGTTTTAACTTTCCTATAAGTCATTCAGGAATTTTGGTAATAACTTTTCTAATGGAAGAGAATATTGGATGCAAGTCCTTTACATGACCTCTTTTGTTCTTTGACCAGTTGAGCTAAAAACTTTAATCAAAATATGTCTCTGATGTAAGTCCAGGGATGCAGAAGGTGTGATGCTCCATCCTACATGTTGTGAGAGACAGCTGATGGAGACTGGGACTGTGGACACAGATGTGAGCATGCTGAACTTGAAACCAAAGGGTGTGGGTTTGAATTCTACCATTGGATGATCAATCCAGGTTTGCTACTGCAGTGTATTCATGGGAAATTATGTTTTTCCAATTACTTCATTGCTAAATAATCAACTTGTGTTGCTAACTGTTATACACACAAACAAACCAAAACCACCCAATTACTGAAGTGGTACTAGAAGAAGGATAGTATGTGATGATGATATGTTACACAAACTTGTGTGAGGTGGATAAAGCACGACCTTATGGTGAAAATAAAAACATTCACTAAAATGTCTCCTCAATGTTATTCTTGACCTTATAGCCCCACCCATGGCCTGACTGCATAGTCCCAAAATATTCAAAATCTATAGTATGTGAATGTGTGTGAGATTTGAATTTTTACTGTAGCTTTAACACTTTTTCAGTCATATTGCTACAAAATCTGCAGTGTGGCAGTTTATAGTGATGTCTATGGGGTATTATGCTGCAGACATGTAGCATGATGTCCCACCCAGTCACATTATCCTGAAACTAGGCCAACCAATCCTAACATGAACTTCTAAATGCTGAGCACCTAGTGAGGCAACCGTTAGTACCATTTTTATGTCTCTGGTATGATTTGCTCAGGGTTTGAACCTGCAACCTCCTGCATTCGAAGCAGATGGTCTAACCACAAGGCCACCAGTGCAGTCAACATTTTTTTTGTAAACTGGAACAAAGGTAATTAATATATAGGAGAAGGAACCAAAACTTTACCCAAAAGATGTAATACAATCTGAACCCAGTGCTCCTGCCAGAAATATGACCCTCAGGTATGATAAATCCATAAGGTCAGCATATAATGTTTTTTTCTAACATGATGTGAATTGATAATGGGACTATGGAAATAAAAGTGATGTAAAAAAAATTTAACCACACATTTTAACTTAAGTGAGTCCTCATTTTAATTTTTGGTTCCATGGCCTGACCCAGAACACTGAAAAATGAGTCATACTAATAGAAGCAAAGTGTGTTTTTATTACATTCAAGTATGAATTGAACTGGGTAATGGGTTAGGTGGTGCTCTACAGTTTCGTATTTAGCATAGGGTTAGAATTTTAAAGAAAAAGAATTTCCCCGGGTTTCCTCACTAGTAATACTGGCTATTTAAAAGAGACTTTGTATATCTTAGGTATTGTTCAAAGAACCTTTAATTCCCTTTATTTTGATTTATGATTGATGAGTGTAATATGGGTTAGAGAGTATACAGCTTGGCCTTACTCCAGATGTGCACCTTTCAAAAAAGTGCTAGCTCTACTTGCTCATTTTTACTTCTCGAACTTCAGAGGTAAATTGTAAAAAAAAAAGAGCCGATAACTTTTTTTACATTTTATGTATTTGGCAATTCATTCATTGCACTTTTAGAAGCTGGTACTGTCTAGTTTGGCAAAATTCATTTTCCATATTTTAATAGCTGCCAAGAATAGTGTATTTTAGACAAATTTAGGTTGATATTTGGCGCACAAGGGAGCAGTCATTTTAGTTAGCAGTGTCCTAAGATCATTTAAAATTTCCAAAAGTACAATATCCAAAGAAATTTCGGCCACATTACATGAAAGTATCATATAGGTATGCCAACATTCTCTTCACTGTGCATGTTTAAAATGCAAACAACTTCACCTTACATACATCACTCTCTCAAAAGTACATAAAAACTGGTGAGCATCACCTTACTGAGCTACACATGCTGGAAAACACTTGAACCAAAGCTGTCAATATACAAACCCAAACCCAAATAAGCGGTCAACCCAAACAGCAGATGCACTCATCTTGTGGCAAAAACATTAGTATAAAGACAGGGTATCTCTGCAACTGGTCTCACCTGCATTAAACAACCACCTATCTTCCAAGATTACATATTTTGATTTTCCTTGGGGTAAGGTGGTAGCATCTATTAAGACAGGATCCACTACAATCTAATTGCTTTCACATTAGCAGATTCTCTGTTAAAAACATACAACAATATGCCATCAATGTTTATAAATAATTTTTGCCAGAAATAAAGAAACAAATTGCAATAATACATAAAATAATTTAAATGGATATAAACATTACAACAAAAGCAGGAAAGAACATACTCACTAAATGTATAACAATTAAATCACTTCCAACACTATAACAAAAACAGTGCAAGAACAAAAAGAGATTATCACAGGGAAAATTATTAAAAATCTTACTCTGTGGTAATGTGCATTGTTACAATATTGCTGTAAGCATGCAGTAATTGTGTGTGCACATTTATGTGTCTGTGAATATTTATCTGATTGTCCTTATAGAAAAGGTAAGAAATTTACTCTGGTAACAAAATAAGTTAATATCAACTGGAACAAGACTTGTCATGAATTGCTAGCATAAATGTTCAAGATATCAAACAAAATGGTCATGCAGCTGGAAAATTTATGAAGAAAAAAATCTGTTACACAAATCTGAGCTCTGGTATTTACATTCTGATACACAAATAATGTTGTGTGTTACACCAATAATATAGAGCAAAAGAATTACAAGATGTCCAAGTGGACCTGATATCATGTACTTGGCTTACATAGCTTAACATTCCACCATTTAACTAAAGCTTAAAGTATTGAAAGAATACAAGCTATGTAAATTATCTTCCGAACTTTTCATTATGTCAATTTTAATTATTTTATTGCATCCTGATAAAAATTCTTTCCAACCACAAAGATATAATTAATATGCATAGTCTCATGCCCATAATGAAAGTCTTCAAAGATCTTTAAAAGTTAATGATGGAGCTTTGATTTATGGTCAACAGTCACACTAAATTATAATTTACTGCTTGATGTAAGTTATTTCTTTTCCACTGGTTATTTTACTATTGGTAATTAAATCTGTAAGTGTTTCAGGCATAAAATCATAACTGATAAATATTTTGTTACTACAAACTAGGAATACAAAAGTATACCAAAAATTAATGGCAATGAATATATATATATATATATATATATATATATATATATATATATATATATATATATATATATTACTATAACCATAACATAATGCACAAGTCACATGAAAATATATAAATGTTTGAGGCACTTTAATATGAGAATACTACCAACTACCAGATTCTAATTCACCTAGCATATAAAACTTGCTTCCAAATATATAGTTTCTGGAAATAATTCTCTGCAAATGAATTTATAAACTTAGACATAACAAGAAATGTGGAGCAAACTTAAAAGAAAAAAAAAATAATCATACAAATAACTTTAATTATGCAAATAAATCTTAATCCAAAAATTATAACAATGGTTATAATTTATGCAAGCCTGTAAATGTATGTTTTCTTTAATGACATTTCTTTTTTATACCATCACTTAATATAAATTATTTATTTTAATCCTTTGAGTGTATCATTTTGCTAATTTAAAAAATAAATCTACTTAAAACACACATGCATTTGAAAATATATTTTTATGAATGGTTTTCATTAGTTTTGCATGGGGAAGGACTCTAATGCCAAATGTATGATTCTCAATAATCAGTATCATGGGTTCCTCATCTGGCTTTTGGCTGAGAGAGAGAGAGAAAGAGAGAGAGAGAGAGAGAGAGAGAGAGAGAGAGAGAGAGAGAGAGAGAGATTGATTTTAAAAAGTAATAACAGTTTAAATACTAATTTTCTTAATGATCATCAGTTTGCTCTTTGAAGATGAGTCATTAATGTATAGTGCATAAATTTATTCATAAAGTTTCAAGGTTGAGATGTACTATACTCTAAGTAAACATCATGTGATCTGATTTCAGAACAAGAGTTCTGAAAGGTCAGGCGGACCTAATTTCTGATTAGTTGATGTTAAAACAGCTGATGAGTTTACAGCTGAGATTATAGATATGCAATGCTATCTATTACATTTTAGTAACCTATAGAAGAGAATTAGCAGAATTAGGTATTCTAAGTAGCAAACACCAGTTTTTGAAGCTATTCAGTTATATTGAGAGGATTCATTCATTGAATCATTCATTGGAGTTACAGTGCTCAAACTAAAGAAACTTCTCGATATTTAATAGATGCTCCAGACTTACTGTGAATTCATTTAGATATTATTTGGATACTTAATAGCTGTTATGGAATTACTGTGAATTCACATAAAGGCATTTGGATTTAAAGCTGTTATGAATTTAATGTGAATACATTTAGACATTTTGGGATTAAAGAGATTCTCTTGAACTGCTGGTATATTACTGAACATCATTCATAATACCTTTGGAACTTGTTCAGATTACTTGATTCTGTTGGAATTCACAGAACATTTAGCACTGTTTAGGATTTCATTCACCATAATGCATATTTTTTCACTTGTATTTTAGGGAAATAAATTATATTTTGAATATTACAAAACTTATTTGGTTTTTGCTCATGTTGGTACTTATTTTAAGACCATAAAGTTGTAAAACCTGTTGAAACTATACATGATCTGGAAACTATTTCTATCTGAACATATGCACAGAATTTGCTTATAATATACTTCATTTGTTATCTTGATTTAAGTCTTTTACCCACTTTACAGAAATCAGACTAACAATTCAGTGTCTACAGTTGCAACAAGTGCAGCCAATGATCAACTTATTAATTTGTGTAGACCGCTTTGGTGGCCTAGTGGTTAAAGTGTCTGCCTCAGATGCGGGAGGTAATGGGTTCGAAACTTTATCCAAGTCTTACCAAAGACTTTAGAAAATGATACTAACAACTGCCTTGCTTGGTGCTCAGCATTAGGAGGTTAGTCTGGTCAGCCTGGTGTCAGGATAATGTGACTGGGAGGGACATGCCAAATGTCTGCGGCATGATGCCCCAGTGCTAGACATCACCATAAACTATCACACTGCAAACAATGTAGCCATGACTGAAAAATTTTTTAAACTATGTTAAAAATCTAATCACACACACACACACAAGCACAGACACACACACACACATTAATCTGTGTAGGTCTTGATCTAACTCAATCAAGCTCTAGCACTAAGACCCATATTTTAACCTTTATCAAGAGCTGATCAGAAATATGACTTCCAGAGTTTGACTGAAGTTCAAATACAGAAATCTGGCGCATAGCTTGGGCAATTTTCTAATGTATTTACTGTCAGTCATTGGTGGGTGGGTGGGTGAGGTATTCCTACAAATAAAAAATAGTATCTTCATTGCTTTTATATTGTGTATATATGTACATTTGTTCATATGTAGCAACACTTCCCTGTAATCGTATAACTTCTCCAACAATGATACAATATAGTTTGTTCCATCTACAATTTTGTATGTATAAATATTGGCAAGAAACATCATAATAGCAAGCTACCTTTCAAACTGCTTTATGCAAAACATGAAAGTTGAGCATTTGTAAGACAACCAAGGGAGCAAAGTGGACACAATATTGCTCACCTGGGAAGCTGATATATATCCCATTGTTAAAGCAAATTCACAGATTTAAATGTAGAAGAAAACATGAAGGGCATAGTTTGTGTTATTTATCTTCTTTCCTTTAACATACATACAGGATCACTTTCTTGGCACTAAAAAGGAAAGTCATATTTTTCAACCAGCATTACCCCAATGTTCATTCCCTGCTCCAGAGGACTGGTTCCAGGTGAGTTAGCCTCTACTGCAAATCTAACCTGGTAGTCCTATAGGAAGGTGTCCAGCAGATCAACCAAGCATACTACAACTCTGGCAGAAAACAGTGAGTGACAGTTGTTTTTTTTATATCTGGGCACACCTTCCACCTTTAGCTGTGGTTAGCTAACTGCCTCCAGATTGTCCCCCCAAAACTTTTCTAAAACATTGAAAAGATTTTATGTATTTATACACTCACTTCTGATATGTTGTTTTTCCACTAGCTGTTTGGTGTGTGTGTTTATCAGATAGGGACCACAGTTTTTCCACTAGCTGTTTGGTGTGTGTGTTTATCAGATAGGGACCACAGTTATTATATCAATTATAACCTTTCAGTGTTACTTTCTAAAAAGCAATTTTATGTTTATTTTCAGTTTAAGTTACAAATCATTTAATCTATTATTTAATGTTTATTATTTTGTTACTTTTCATTACTCTTTTCCATTCACATGTTTTGCATCTTGAACATTAAATTATTTTTTTTAAAAAAAAAATCTGTTTTAAACTTTTCTGCAAGGCAATAAACACTTCATAATCCTTCACAGGTGGTTCTAAATCTACCCTATCAAGACTACTTCACTTGCTTTCTAAAACAAAACTGCTGACTAATTGCATGCACCCAAGCAAAACGTTTACATACTGGGTTTGGAAATTCTGGATTGATATATTGAGATATCCAAACAAGATAATGCATATCAATGAAAATTCTTGAGATTTAGTTGGAGTAAAAACAAAGGAGTAAAGTCTAGAGGTTGTATGCGGCCTACTTTAAGATTAAATTAATATCATTTAAACAGGAATGCATGATTACTCCTTATTTGAAAGTTATGAAAGGAAGATCTGTGTTGTTTCTTTGTAGCTAACATTTAAGCTTTTGCTAAATTGGTCAAAAGTAAAATAGCTTCTTAATATGATTACTGGTCTTTGGTTAAATAGGTTATATTTCTCTACATATAGCATTTTTGTTACTGTATGTTTTAGAATACAATGAATGAACAATGTGTATATACATAGCTTTGTAATATGAAATTACTAGAAATGAATCACCTGACATTCTGCAAAATCTCAGCCAATAAAAGGCAAGACCACCTCAATAATATGTAATGCTGTCACAATAGAAGCTTACCATCCAGGCCTGATCATAATCTGATCAGAAATATGGCCTTCACAGTTTTCACTAGATAAAATCAGTCAGATGTTAGATCAACATATTGTATGTATGAATGCTGCTCATAACCACATTTATCTGATGATGTAACCCTACATACCACAAGTCAATTAAGTCAGAAGTGAAACCTCTATAGTGTCCACAAGCAAGTATTGATGGACAGAAGGATGACATCCAGACAATAGATAATAGATAATACCTCATGGATGCAGGGTCATATCATTAAGTTTAATTGGCATTAGGCCAGGTAACATAAAAACAAATAAGATTTTTAATAAAAAATATACCAGAGTATACAACAGGTTATTTGTTTTTAAAACCATCTATCTGATAGATGGTAATTAGCACTTAGCACACCCATCTGAAACTGCACAAGAAATTTTTTTTTTACTGCATATCTCAAGTGTTTAGCTGCAGAAATATGAACAGTAAAAACACATGAAATAGAAATATGATCTAAAACTAATAAACTAAGACCACCATATCTTTCAAAATAGATTCGATTTAATGGCTTTGGTTTAGAAAAACCCATAAGTAAAACACTATTAGCTAAAACAAAAACTTTAACATAACAGTAAAAATTAAAACACTATCAGCTAAACAAAAACTTGAACATAATACAAAAATAGCTCTAAACTCTTTCTTTAAAAATCAGCTAGTCATATAAACACTCATTATACAAATTGTGGATAATATATTTCATTATAGGCTATATACTTTCATTATAATATCTCACTGGATGATACATAAATGTGGTAGCTTTCCTTAAAAGCTCCTTGTGTTTTGCAGTCTTTTGTTTTTAAACCAATGACAACATAAACCAAAAAAATACTGGAAGCCACAGCAGTAGAAATGGTAGTTATATTACTAGTACATATTAAAGCAAGAGACAGTAATATTTTCCATCCCGATAACTATTCATATCAACCCTTGTTGATTTACTGATGATATGCTGTAATAGTGGCAATACTTTTGGTTGTAGACTATAGATTATTCCAGCTGCAAAATTCATGAAATGTAGGTTTTATCTTTCCTGAAGGACCAATTTTTAAAGGTGCGGCTTTTTCGATTAAGTAACCTCAGATCTGGTTTTCCATGTGAAAGGAAGACTTCTACTTGTACACTGTTTTCTAGAGGAAGCCACTTCTGTACTCTGTCAGCTGCAATACCTGACAATACATCATAACAAATACAATTAAGGTATATATGTTGTGAGATTTGATGTACTACCTCAATTACTAATTTTTATAATTTAAAAAAATACAGATAAGAAATTTAAAGAATCAATGGACCTGAAAAATCATCCCTTATCTAGATCAAAAATTGAAAGCACTAGTTTATATTTTATCATCAGCATTGGGTATTTGGGTATGAGAAAAAGCTTTCTTGTAACTTCTCATGAGTAAGTGCCTCTTCCCTGGGTTTTCTCCTATTGTTCCTCCATCTTTTATATTGTCTGCTATATAGCCTATCATGTGGTGAAAAATGGTGTTACGCCCATAAGAACAAGAAGTAGTTTTAACAGTGGTACAAGTAGTCATTGTAAATGCAAACTGATTGTGTAGTCATGTGTATTCTCTAATGGCAGCCAACTGTGAAAATGATTATATGGCACTTAAAGAGATTTATTTCCTAGAAATATAAAATATTATCTATTCTGATATGGAAATTATATAAAACATGTCTCCTACATAATTAATGTAAAAAGCAAAATGCAACATGACTTTCCATTTAATATAGATAGATGTCCCTAATAAACTTAAATGAGATTCTGATAGTATATGCTTATACATCTTCAATACACTTTTTAGAATTGTAAATTAACAATCAAACACCTCACTAGTAAGAAAAGATGTCACTTATAATAGGTCTGAGCAAAATTTGTTTAGGAAAAATGACCTTTAGAGTGGTAATGGGTATGGCCATTAGATGCTAGTTCACCTTATTAATATGCAAGGATGTTGCTCTTTATTGACTTTATCCAAGAACTTGATAATAGTAGTCAACAGATTAAATAAATTTTGCTTAAAAATTCTGCCCCACAGATGATATAATCTCAGTCAATATGATACAAGAACTACTTATGAATATGCATAGATATCAATTATCATCAAATTTATCTGAAAGCTTGATGACGACTGAATTTATATTTGGCAAATTTGATCATAATTTGATTAGAAATATGTCCTCTACAGGGCAAGCAATATCTCCAAGAAAATTTCATTACTCTACATTGATCTACCTCATAATCTTGTCCATACTCCAATTAATATAAGCTTACATACTAAGTTTGATTAAAATCTGATCAGCATATGTCCTCATGAGTGGTAACATGCTTAACAAATCAGATGCAAAAAGTCTCATTATGATGCATGATGTTACTCATAATCAAACTCATCAAAGTCTTTGAAAAATTAAGCCTACATATAAGTTTGTTCAAAACTGGACCAGAAATGTAACTTCTAGTGTCATAAGAAACTCGGTGAATCAGCTGCACAATCACCTCATTAATAAGTGGGATATTGCTTGTCATCAAACTCGCTGAAGATTTTGGTGATATATGCTTATATGCACAATAACCTGATTCAAATGTGTTGATGTTATCTATCATTGAAGTTATCTAAGATCTTGATGTCATAAATAAATGTATCAAATATGAATTATCAAGTTGTAATATTCTCAGCCAATCAAACTTAACATCATCTCAATAATATGTGCAGTTCTTGCTCATTATAAAATTTATAAAAAAAATCTTGATGACATAGGTTTCCATAAAAAGTTAAAACAAAATCTGTGTATAAACATTGCTTCTGGAGTGTTATCAAGCAAGTGTTTACTAAATATGATAGATGATGCATGATGATAGATAATCCAATGATGAATG